TTGGATGAAGCCACTTACTACTGTGCCTGCTGGGATCTCACAATGTCACAGAGTCAGAAGGGACCTGAAAGAAAACCTTCCTATGACCACCGCCTGACTGCTTTCATACTCCTGCGACCACAACAGACTCCTTAATGCTCTTGTTCATTGGTTCATAGGCTGTTTGAACAGGGAGGGCCCTTGGAACATATTTAGCCCAATGTCCCCACTTCAAATGAGGAAACTGGGGGCACAGAGACAGCAAGTGACTTGTCTCAAGCTAGTTAACCACAGAGGTAGGGCCACACTCTTGCATTTCAGATTCTCAGTCCAGTGCCTCTTCCTGCCTCTCTTGTGGTCTGTGTTGAACTTCTTTCAGCAGAATCACATTTCTTTCAAAAGGGAACTGTGACAACTTCCCTATGCGTCGTCTTCCTCAGTGGTACCCCTAGGCCCCAATTAACTCTGATATCGGCCAAACATGTAACTACCACACTGCTGAGAAGGGGACAAAGGTCAGCAGGGATGGACTCCACACTCCATCTACCCATGTTGTCTTCCCATAGCTATTTACTGCCGTTTGTTTCTATAGCTTCCTATCTGTTCTGAAATCCCTACTAATCAGAGCAGTTTCTCTGGTATGCCCATCACACATATGGGCAAGTGGGAAGTAGAGATTAACTTTTCTTCTGACTACATTAGTAAATTCTTATAATAGAAGTGCCTGCTGAACCAAGGCTGGAATTTCCTACTCTTCACTCTGAAACCTGGAACCAATCCTAATTGGCTGGCCACACACTTGTTTCAAATTGGGTAGCCCTGGCTTGCTTTCTGCTCTCTTAGAGTGACCTAGGCCTTGTTCATGTCCAAGGCCTTACCAGCCACACCTAGAAAATAGCAAGAACAATAGTAGCAACCATATCTATATCATTACATTATAGCTCAGTACCTCTCTTTTTGGATGTCTGACAAGTAGCCAAAAAATTATTGATTCCAATTCCACTCCCTTCCCCCAATCTCCAAGCATGTATTATTTTCCTCACCAGACTTTCCTATTGCAGTAAATGGCAACAGTATATTGTATCATCTGATGCAATGGCAAGGGTTTTTTCTCAAGCAGATAGTGTTTTGTTGACTTCCATGTTTTTTTGTTTCTCCTGGTAATGAGAGAAGAGTGAGGAGACCCAACTATTATTGAGTTTCCTGTGATATGAGATCTGAAGGGAGGTTATAGGACCTCTGGAAACTGGTTTCACCTGCCAGAAAGACACCCACAAACCAGGCCCAACCCTGTGTGGCCCAATCTGAGACTGGAGTAGGCTGTCTCAATAGAGTCCCCGACTGAAACACTCCAGACCCAATGTAGAGAATACCTAGTCTTCTAACTTACTGCAGGTTTAGAAACTCTTTGTATTCCCCCTGACATGTACAGGGCAACAGGCCAGCCATGACAGCAATGATTGTCATTCTGAAGTGCATGGCTCAAATGGCCTCATGGATGTTATAATCTCCTGGTGTTACTGAAAGACAAATACAAAGAAAGTAAATTGTGAGATATAATTTGATATTCAGATTCAACTAGTCCCACTCCTCACAGATTATTTTGCTAGGTGCTGGCACTGCCTACTCATTGCTTTTTAGAATATGCAAATCAGCCATTTCATCTGCTTTTTATTTCATTTGATACGTTCTGTGCTTTCTAGAAAGCAATACCCAGCATCCTTTATATGGCCATTTGAGATACAGATTCTCTGTATTATACAGACCTAGACTATACCTGGGAACTGCGTTCCTTACACATATCTTTCCAAGTAATTGATGAACAGGGTTTGGGATCCGGAAAATTTGCACTGAAATCCTGGCTCAGTTTCAACTCCCTAATTCTGTTTCATCACATGACTTTTAATAGTAATAACCATTTATAGGGTAAGGCAGAAAGAGAGAAATGCATAATTGGTGCCTGACTCACGGTAGACACTATATTTATGAGTTTTCTTCTCTTTCACTATCAAAAAGCACAAGGCCATGGATTATCATCCTGGAGCAGGGGGAAGGGAAGCGAAAAGGAGATTTGGGGCTTAGAGTAGAATATTAATTTCCCAAGACATTCTTCCAGACACGAGTCTTTTTACGCAAACATTTCTTGTTTGTCAAAAAGAAACAAGTGTTTCACCAGGCGTGTTGCCTGTGGGAGCAGTATCAGTTGAAAAGCGTCTATAATATGCATAGTGGCATGTTAAATACCCCAAGTGCAAAAGAAACCCTAAAAGACTAAATCATCAGGTTAAGAATGAAGGCAGGTGGCACAACTGCTAAAAGGGAGACTGATTGAAAGTGCAGTGACCTGGCCTCTCCCAAACACTGCCCTGGTGTTTTCAGAAACAAGTAAAGATCCACTGGACTCTATCATAACATATCTGATATCATCTAAGTGATGACATATGTGAAATCAAATTATGCTAATTTTTGAAAGTTAGTGCTCCACAGATGGTCAGTATGTGATTTTTTAATCTCTTGTACATGTCAGATAATGTGTTTATTTTGCTTCAGACAGTGGTCTCTCTTGGAAGTGTCTTAACTTACTTCTGTACCTGATTTAATTAAGATCCATTAAAATTTCTAAAAGACAAATCAATGTGAAAAATAGTGCAAATTATTATTTTGGTTCATGTTGGCCACCAAACCCTGAAATGAAATGTGAGATATGTCTTCATATGTTTTGATGGCCAAACAAATTTGGTTGAAGCTGTTCTCTATGAAAGTTATTATCATCAAATTTGAAAAAGTGATGCAAAACTTCAAGCAACGCAGTGCCAACTTGTGCTTTACCTCACTTGACTTACTTCTTATTTATGTATTTGTTCATTCATAACCCATCTTCTTGGAAGCAGGATTTAAGTTGCCTCAGTTTGTTAACTCAAGACATGACAAATGTGGCAGGGGGGATGTGTGTGTTCCAAAACATAAGGTTAGAGGCAAAATTGCTCATCTTTATACACATTCATTCAGGTTTCATTTTATGCCTTTAGTAGAACTGAACATTATGGTCTTCACATAGTTTTTGTTTTCTTGTAAACTTAATAAAAAATGTTATAATTCATTACTTACATTTTTACGTTTTATTACTTAAATCTTTCATGGCTGTTGAAGTGTAGACAGCTTCTAAGACTTCTGATACTTCCCCACATGGTCTTGGAATAAGGAAAAGCAGAGGACAAAAAGGGATTGAGTGGACATCATCCCATCCATGACAGGTGCAAAGGGCAACTGACAGTCCGAAGTAACAATAACTTTTAATTTTCAGATAAAAAGACACAGAAATAAGATGTTTCCATTCTACCTTACGAAGTGAAGTCTCTCTGAATTATTGCATAAACGATAAGAGAAAACCAATCAGTTTTTAGCACCTCCTGTGTCCCTGGCTCTATTGTAAATATCTCACAAAAGTCCTGAGAATTAGGTCTAATCCTCTCCATTTAAAAGGTGAGGAAACCAAGACTCTGAGATGTGTCTGCGCCCAAAGGCACAACACCAGGAGTGGAAGAACTGGAATCTGAACCTGGGTTTTCCAATTTTAAAGTGTCTTTTTCTTCATTCCCAACTTCCTGAGATAATAATTTATTTCATAAGAATCTTTTAAAAACTCGAGAAAACTTGTTAATGTTTATTGTTCCAGCCACTCTGTACATCTCCACCATCTCTGCAACAACGCATAAGCCTCTTATTGGCTTATGGCGACCAGCTATAAAACCATCTGCTTCACACAAATTGCTGTCCCAGGCAGCACCCTTTCTTTCTGCTCACGCATATATCTTCTTAAAGTGCAAATGTGATCATGTCACTTTCTTCTCTAAATTTTTTAGCAAGTCCTCATTGTCTATTCTTCTTTCAAAAACGTTTATTTGAAAATACTATAAAATAGAAAATTGTCCACGTTCATACTTCTTCAAAATTAATGTGTTAAGTTTCTCCTACCTCATTTCCATCCTATACCCCTTTACTCAATGGATACAATTATTCTCCTACATGTTCCTTCTGGCCATGTGTAGCTTTGTAATTTTAGTTTTAATCTATTTTGACCCTTTGTTATCTGGGATGAGGTAGAGTGATATTTTTATTTTCTCAGGTAATTATTTTCCTAATGCCCGTTTCTGAACAACCCACCCTTTCCTTCCAATTTAAAAATGCTGCAGCTTGTTTTAAATAGGCACACATATTTGACACATTTTCTGGAGAATTTATTTTGTCTATTTCATTATTCTTATATCATTATCGTATTATCTCAGTAGCTTTATGATAAGAATTAAGATCTACAATGCCAAATATCTATTCACTGTACCATTTTTCAGAAAATTATTTTTCAATCATCTCATATTTATTCATTCCTATAGAATTTAAAATCAACTTATCTAGTCCAACATTAAACCTCACACCCTAGAACAACAACATCATGTCGTAGTAATTCTGACTGGAATTGCTGGAAATTTATAGATGAATTTAGGATGCATTGGCCTCTTTAAGATAGAAGATTTTTATTCATCAGTGCATGTTACTCCATGTATTTAGGTTTTATTTTGTGCCCTTAGGGAAACTAAATACTGTGTTCTTCATATCGTTCTTGTATTTTCTTGGTAAATTTAATAAAAGATTTTATAATTCATTACTTTTTCACATTTTATTACTTAAATCCTCCACGGCTCTTGAATATTGACAGCTGCTAAGACTTCTGATGCTCCCTCTCATGGTCCTGGAATACGGAAGGCCAGAGGACAAAAGAGACTGAGTGGCCATCATTCCGTCTATCACAGGTATAAAGTGTCATCAACAGCGGCACGTAATAGTTTTGAATTTTCTATTAAAAAGAAATCCTTTCCAAACATAATTTTCACCCAGCCCCATTGTCCTCTCCATTGGCTTGGGGGCTGTGAGCCGCCGTGTATGGACAGGTGCCCTCTGTGACCTCATTTATACCTTCCTGAATGAGGACTCAGGGGACTTAGAGGCTGGAGCAGGGTGGAGCTGGAGTGGACATGGAGGTCGTTAGACCTGTTCTCCTCAGTCTTTGCAACTGAACACCTCTTCTGTGCTCAGGAGATTACACAGCAGACTCCGGCTGAAGATGGCAGATTTTTCAACATATCAGATAGCTCGATTTTTTTTTTTTTTGATCATGCCTCAGTATAATTAAATAATCTATTATTTCATGGGAGACAGAATTCTACAAATTTCTTCTGTTATTCCGGGAGAAATAATAAGTCATTGCAGAACACATTTTCTCATTTGGCATTGCTTTGGTAAAGCATCGTGTTGCCAAATGATAAAAGCGGCTTTTTGAAAGTGGAGACCTTGGTTCAGATTTCTCAAGTATATCTGCACTGACACATTTGCATTTTCAGTTACTGAAGAGTTTCCTCCTTTCAGAAGTATCTTCCCAAATTGCCAACAGAGAGGCCCTGGTGTTTGTGGAAACAGAAGGGCTTTTCCTTTGATGTAATCTCAAAGCAGTTTCAACACAATTGAACACCTGGAAATTTAAAAAAAATACAGTTCTCTGAATACTTTTCCTGGTAATTTAGAAAAGCCTGCTGTTTTCTCTTCCTGCTTTTTTTTCCATTTCCCTTTTCTGTTGGTGCTTTTCAAGAATTACTGCCTTAGAAGAAAACAGGTAATTTATGAGGAAAAAGTACAAACTATCAGATGTCACAAAACCTATATTCAAGGACTTCCAAAAAAGCCAGAAGATCAAATTGCTAGTTCAAAGTTGTTGGATTGCTAGTCATGTCATGAGGATCAGAAGGCTGAGATTTTTGTAGAAGCTTAGACCAGTGTGATAGGACTGGTTGGATCAAGATATTTGCTGAAGGGACTAAGCTCATAGTGACTTCGCCTGGTAAGTAATTTTTTTTTTCTGTTGTTATCCCAGTAATGAAAAACAGTTAGATACTTTTTAGAAAAAAATGATCAACCTTATCTGAATCTGTCACATCTCTGGCCTCAGTATACGAACAGCAATTTTTCAGGTTAGCTGAACATGGAAACAAAACGATTTTGTACATAATATCTTCCCTTCCCTGTCTGTAAGTGGATTAAAATTCTACTTTTAGAATACACACACACTAACACACACACACACCTAACACACACACACACACACACACACACACGGTAGACTCTGGAGAGAAATTAAAATGTTTTGAGGACCATGTCTGTAAACCATTGCTGCAAGTCCTTCGTCCAAGATAATTTTTTGTAGGTCTTTTAAGTGAGAGACATAAAAATGGAATTTTATTAATTACTTCTTCTCTGTATTTTGAGATACAACATAGTTCTTCCTTCTTCTGCTAGCCTGCCAAATCCATGTTACTGATTTTGATCTCATCCTGAGACGCAGTACGGAAAAAATTACTTAGTATAGTAAATTACTATAGAACTTCAATATATCCCACTTATTAGTGCTCTAGTTTCTTTGAGGGAGGCTGAAGTCAGTCAAAATTTATGCTATTGGGACTCTTGTTATATCACCTGGAAGTGGCCCAGTTTAACAGAATTTGTAAGTTCAACCAGCCATGTCAGCTCCAAGGTCAATGAAAAGAGTCTTCCTGATTTTACATCTTCATTTCTTCATTTATCCTCTCAGCAAATAGTTACTGAAAACAGTTTTCGTTCTGAATGCTGGAGATAAAAGGGCAAAGAAGCACAGTCTCAACACTCAGAAGCTGCCAGTCTGGCAGATAAGTATTCTAGATTCTGGTTTGGTTGGGCCCTGCCCATGTTCTTTGACCTGTGGCTGCCGGAGAAGCAGAAGGTCTTGGGTTCATGAGCTTGTTTTCTTTCTTAATTTATGTAGCAGTTATTGCTTACAAGATCTATGTATTGTGTTTGGTGGGTGGATTTGATAAAATGACCCGATATTGTTCCTTTAAGGAGAAAATTAATATTAGTACAGTTTATTGAGAGCCAGACACCATGGTAAATAGTTTCAGTGCTTTATCTCCTTCCTCATCAGACCTATGCAGGAGATCCTCTTAGTCCCATTTCACAGATGAGGAAACTGAGGCCTAGAGAAGAGCAGTTACTTTCTTAAAGTCACATGACTAGTCACTGTGGCAAGGACTGGGATCTAGGTAAGGCTATCTGTTTCCAAGTGCCTGGTCTGCACCCTTATGTGATATTTAGCAATATTAAGTAATATTTTTATACTTTGAATATTTCCTCTTCTGTAGCTTGACCCTATGAATGGACTTTTTAGTTGACTATTTTTCTTGTACCAACTTCCAATTTGTATTACTATTTGTGTATTAATATAATTATTCTACTTCTAATTATGGCACTGAAATGACCTCTCTCTCCTCCAAAAAGTCATATGGAATACGCATGCATAAAATATTCAAAATATAATTTTTACGGTATTTCTATAGAATGAGTCGTTTTGACATCATTCCGCTCAGTTGTCTTTCTGTATTGGCATCAGATTTGCTAGATATGTTGAAACTGATGAAGGAGCTATTGCAGCTATGCTGTATTGCAGTGCTAAGTTGCGTAACTCAAGCTGCCTCAGATTCTCTGTGGAGTAGCACACGATTTAATTCAATGAAACTGTAAGGGTATTTTCAAGTCAAAAGGAGCAGTCTTTCAGCAATGAATCATCATTAAGAATTCATATTTTGTAACAACTTATCTGGTACTCTATCAATGAGAACTGGATTCTAAAAAGAAGTTACTCTATTTATTTTTATTTTTATTTTTTGAGATGGAGTCTCGCTCTGTCACCCAGCTAGAGTGCAGTGGCACCATCTCTGCTCACTGCAGCCTCCGCTTCCCAGGTTCAAGAGATTCTTCTGCTTCCGCCTCCTGAGTAGCTAGGATTACAGGCACCTGCCACCAAGCCCAACTAATTTTTTTTTTTTTTTGTATTTTTAGTAGAGATGGGGTTTTACCATGTTGGCCAGGCTGATTTTGAACTCCTGAGCGCAAGTGATCCACCTGCCTCAGCCTCCCAAAATGCCAGGATTACAGGCATGAGCCACCATGCCTGGCCAAAAGGAAGTTACTTTAGAATCAATCTAGATACCCATCCCTCCATACATATGAATCACAAAATATCTATAAATCATATTGAGTATCTATTTACTGAATGTCAAACATAAGAATTCTCTTACTGTCTGTCTTTGAAAATTAAGGAAATATTAACTCTAAATTACACTTAAGACAAAGTGTATACATGAAAACTCTTTAGGGAATATTTAGAAGATTCAGGTAAAATCATGAGAAAAGTTAAAATCAGACTCTCTAATGTATGTGATACAAGGAGAGAACGTACATAACCCAAAGTGCCCAGGGCAGGGTGAGGTCAGTTCTTAAATTCCTGATTGCATTCAGAACTATTATGATTTTGTTTGACCTTTGTCTTGACTTAATGTCAGCCAATTTTTATGTCTCTATGTAAATATTGAAAAAAATGCTGGCAAAATTTTAAGACAAACACAAAGGTAAATTCTTGTAAAGGCTTCTCAGGTGGTGGGCAACAGTTTGGCAGAAAAGTCAAGCTATTTGGTCCCGGAACAAAGCTCATCATTACAGGTAAGTTTTCTTTAAATTTTGCAATGTAGAGAAGGGATGGGAGGCAGGCAGGAGCTGGCTCAGAATTCTAGGATTCCCTCCTGGTTTGGTCACTAATCATGGTGAAATCTACAGAGAGGTCAGGTGACTTGGTTCATGCCATGGGAGTCAGAACTTTTCCTGCCCTAGCATGGGAGACATTACTAAGGGGCTTAGACCAACTGCAAATCTCTAAAGGATGGAGGCCTTATGTTCCACTGGTATCTCTCTGTTAAAAGTTTTGTGAACAAGTTTAGTTTAGAGATTTTATTTCTTCAATTCTGAAAATAACCAATGGAAAAAAGTAAAAAAAGTAAAGAAAAAAAAAATTTCAGCTACCCTCCTCATTTGGTCACTGAAAGATGAAATATTTGATAATTTGACCAAAGAATGATTACTATCAAATGTCAAAATATTTCACTGTGTGAACATATTTAAAAGTGACATAAGCTGCATTTGTTGTTATTTAAATTGGTCCAATGAGTTTGTTTATTATTTGTTAGCTTAAGCTTAAAGATGTAATTTTGCCTGGATGAGAGAAAACATCTCATAGAGATACTCTTGGTCTATTAGGTCCACTGAAATGAAAGTTTTCAGAGAATATTCACAAAGTTGATAAAGCATTGAAAAAAATGAAAGCAGTTTTATAGTTTTATTTCTTTAATGCTTGAGATCATATGATAAAATTAACTTATAAGTTAAAAAGTGACCTTCTGATTCTCTTTTATCCAGTTGACTTAATGTGAATGGTAGCAATCAAAGTCATAATTTGTAGTTTTCTGAGAAGTGATTTTTCAGGAAAGTGCGGTGCAGGAAAAGGTATGGACTTTGTTTCTCGATGACTCCTGGGGCTGTCTGTTTCTGTGTTTTTTGCCTTTTGTTTTTGTTTTTTGATTCTTCAAGTTTTCAGATTGTTGGTTGCTTGTTGATTATTTCGAAATTGGACAACACTAAACTAAGCATTTAAGTATGATTTGTTTTTTCCTCTCATTATCTTTTTTTTTTACTTTTATTTCAACCTTTTTTCTATGCTTTTTGTTTGTTTGCTTTACAAAGTTGGAATCATACTAGACACACAGTAATAGATCTGGCTTTTTCACTTCTCACTACTTCATAATCATTCTTTTCAAATGTCCTTAATATTTTGCAATAACAGAGCAAAGTTGAAAGTTCCGATTTCAAGTTGATCTGTACAATGAAGGTAATGGCGATTATTTATCTCGAGGGAATGTTGTATATATTACATGAAATTAAATATGGAAATTACCCACCAGAATGCCTGGCACTTGGTAGGTGATAGAAATATTAATTCCTCTTCCAGAATTCAAGTTACTACCCATGAGAGGTCTTTATACACTCAGGAATATAGATAAATGTATCAACCCCATCTATTCAACAGCTCACTTCAGAACAAATATCACTGTTTGTAAAATGCTTTCTATTTCTAAAAAACTAATTGTACCTGCTTCTAAAAGTAATTAGAATGTTTTATGTATTATCTCATATATGATCTGCTTGAATACAAGGTGATTTTTCTTTTTCCAGAGAAAATTTATACAAGTTTAAGAAAATATGTATTTCCCCTCTCCCAACTTGAATATGTAAATTTATAGGGATACAGGTAAAATAGTCAAATGTCTACTTATAACATTTAATTTCTTAACTAGATCATACCTACAAAGTTAAAGATTATGTCAATACCAATATCAATTGAGAAATATTGGCTTTGGAGCCCTTATATTTCATTAAAGATTTTGTTTTGATGCTTCACATGCATCTAAAGCAACTACATTAGAGCAACTTTCTAAGGCATCTCAGTTCTCAGTGTCCATTTTGGATTCCTCATATGATGGTGTTCCTGAATATTTTATTCTGAGAAACAATTATCCACTCACAAAATAAAAGGAAATTATTTTTTCTGATTTATTCTGTTATTCTACATTTGTATGAAGTAAGTAAAAACTACAGGGACCTTAGCCCCAAGTAATAATGACCAAATTCAAGATACATTTCTTTGCCTTTTCTTTCCTTTACCAGTGCTATCACCCCAAACTAACATTCATTGAGTTCATTTCATGTTGATATCTCGTCCTGTTAGTCCTTCTGGATCAAAGCAGAGTATTTGAAGAACATTTTTTAATATGAGAGGTTACACAAAGACTGTACCATTCATAAGGCACTCCCCGCCCCCCGCTGTGAGAGAAAATTTTGGGAAAGAAAGCCTCATTTTATGTTCTGGCACTTTCTTTCTGTCTATATAAATTTAGTATGTAGGTGTCCCTATCACAGAGCTAGGATTTGCAAACGTGTTCACCATTCCTAGTGTCTTATTTGAGCTTGACCATTAAATAAATACAGATGATCAAAAGCTCCAAGGAAAAGAGAAGGAAAAAGGCCTGTGATTACCTGGCAAGCAGCACAGGTTAAAATTTTATCCCCAAATGTAGGAGAAAAAGGTAGGGGAATACATAAAATTCTGATAAGTGTATTACTGGATAAGATTAACGCAAGAGTATCTCTGAAAATAATCAATAAAAATGTTTAATAAGAGTTTTGGAAATGTTGCCATTTTGTTTCTAAATTCAAGAAATGGTGAATAATCTGGAGGTACAGCTGTAAATACTGCTCCACCCCAAAACTTGGAGGGTGAAGATGTGAAATTGAGATGTTATATAAAGATAGATATTAACTAGGAGGACTGCTCATGGTATATACATTGAAGCTACATGGTCAACTTGATAGACAGTACGTACACATGGAAGTAGATTCTCATTAAAACAAGTGACTGTGTATTGTTAAAAATAAAAGTGAACAAAATGGCTAGGCATGGTGGCTCATACCTCTAATCCCCGCACTTCGGGAGGCTGCAGCAGGCAGATGACTTGAGTGCAGGAGTTTGACACCAGCCTGGTCAACATGGTGAAATGTGTCTCTACAAAAAACAAACATTAGCCAGACATAGTGGTGCATGCCTGTAGTCCCAGCTACTTGGGAGGCTGAGGTGGGAGGACCACTTGAGCCGGGGAAGTTGAGGCTGCAGTGAGACATGATTGTGCTGCTGCAGTCCAGCGTGGGCGACAGAAAAAGCCCAGTTTCAAAAAACAAAAAACAAAAACAAAAACAAAAAAAACAAAAAAAACAAAAAGCTGACATTTATTCATATGGGAAATAAGATAAATAGTAAGATTTTTAGAATGTGACATTTATTCATATGGGAAATAAGATAAATAATCAGATAAATATGGTGCATCGCAGAATCAGTGAAATGAAGAGTGGGAGGACACAAAATTGTGGAACATGAGAATGTGTGTTATTTGGTCAAAGAACATAAGTTACAAAGGATGGGAAACGAAAGTGGGAAAAGGACCAAAGAGTCTCATCTGTAGAGAGATCATTGAAGTTATCTGATCTTTTTCCCCTTTCCCCTGCCATCCACCTTGAAAACACCCTTCACTATAATGAAACTAAAGAGATAAAAAAGAAAATAAATATGTTCATGAACACTGGAAGCCTTGGTAGGAGGCAGTTAAAAATCACACTCCCTCACAGCATGTGCAGAATAAACAAAGGCCAGGTTTTCATCCAGCATCTGACACTTGAGAGCTGTGACTTTTGGCAAGTTATTTAACTTTTTGATCCTCTTTTCAACCTCTGTAAAATAAGCACAGTAATAAGTACTGTGCAGCCTATCCTGGATGAAAGGCCCTGGTGGACACTAGCTCAACGGCACCGTCTCTTTTTATTGTTATGTACTAGGCCATTCCAAACCGTGCAATGTGTGTGTTTCTCTCATGATTCTTTTAAATTCATATTCCATTTCTCCCCATAGATAAACACCTTGATGCAGATGTTTCACCCAAGCCCACTATATTTCTTCCTTCCATTGCTGAAACAAACCTCCATAAGGCTGGAACATACCTTTGTCTTCTTGAGAATTTTTTCCCGGATGTTATTAAGATACATTGGCAAGAAAAGAAGAGCAACACGATTCTGGGATCCCAGGAGGGGAACACCGTGAAGACTAATGACACATACATGAAATTTAGCTGGTTAACGGTGCCGGAAAAGTCACTGGATAAAGAGCACAGATGTATCGTCAGACATGAGAATAATAAAAATGGAGTTGATCAAGAAATTATCTTTCCTCCAATAAAGACAGGTATGTGTTTACACATATCATCTCTCCGAACACGTCTTTGAAAGGGAATCCTGCATTTTTTCCTTTCATTATTAATGAAAAACAAGCATAAATCTTTCTTAATTGGTGTCACATTTAATGGTAGCATAAATGCTCTGCTACTTTTCTATAGAATTAAAATGGTGTGGGTTTTGGAGAAAACAAAATTGAAAAGGTTACGGAAGGTTTCTCAGCCTCAGTTCCATTATCCAAAATAAGAAAGTCACATGCTGGTTTTTAGGGTTGTTAGATGGATTAAAGGAAACAATATACACGGAAGCATCTAGCAACGAAGCAAGTGGTAAATGCTCAAAAAGAGTTCTCCCTTCTCTTGATGACTTTACTTGATCTGGAAATAAGAACAAATATACGCCTTTCAGGAATGTTCTACTGAAGCAGGCAGAGTCACCTCAATCTTGCTACCCACAAAGTTTAACCTAAAAACGATGGGTTCATTGTTGACAAAATGATATTTATCTAAAAACAGTTCCAATTTTCTATTTCCTTTGCCGAGACACAAAGGGGAGGCAAATGCGCAAAGCCTGAGGGTAGTCTTACCACTGTGCTTACGTGATCTGATTTTTCCAGTGATTAGGGCAAAATAAAACGTATAGTAAGTTCCAGGACAGTGAATATTATACAGGCGACAAGTTACAGTTTTATAATGTGTTTTCCTTTACACCAAATTCTAAAAGTAAAATGTCTTTCTACCTGCTTTTTTTTTTTTTTTTTTTGAGACAGAGTTTTCACTGTTGTTGCCTAGGCAGGAGTGCTGTGGCACCATCTCGGCTCACCGCAACTTCTACCTCCCGGGTTCAAGCGATTCTCTTACCTCAGCCTCCCGACTGGCTAGGATTACAGGCGTCCGCCACCACACCTGGCTAATTTTCGTATTTTTAGTAGAGATGGGGTTTCACCATGTTGGCCAGGCTGGTCTCGAACTCCTGACCTCAAGTGATCCATCTGCCTTGGCCTGCCAAGTGCTGGGATTATAGGCGTCAGTCATTGTGCCTGGCCTAAAAGTACAATGTCTTTCATGCGCTTCTCAAGGCAACTACGTTAAGGAGGACACGTCTCTTAATGTCATTCTACAGTAGATTTCTAATGCTCTTTTTTGGAAGTTTGTTTTTTTCTGAGAAAAGCTAAAAATATAACATAGAAATGATCATATTATATAATCAATGAAGTGCTTTTAAAGGAGATAAAACTAATCTGGTCCACATTTGCAACCAACGTTGATTGAGAGAGAGAGAGAGAGAACTCAGGATACTCTTACAGATTTTATTATGGGGAATAGTTACTTTATTCTTTTTATCTCAATCAATGCGTGGAAATAAGTAATAGTCATTTTCATTTATCTTTTAATAGATAAAATTAACCTAAGGAAAAGAAGAAAACATTGAAAACCCATTAAAGTCAGCCCTTAAAGATATTTGGGCATGCAGACATGATAACTAACATTTGCATTCGTGAGACTTACCCAAAACCTATGCCTCAAGTCCATTTTTGAGAATACATGAAATAAAGATCTCAGTGAGTGCATAAAACTGCACACCAGAATCATATCCGTATAGATAAGAACACATCCACTAGAAAAATAATAAACCCAAACACCAATGCAACTCTGTTTTCTTCTGCTTTAAAATATGTTGTCTTTGTTTGCATGTTTGCGTCTTCCTTTTTTTTTTAAACATCACAGATACATTCAACTCTCACCTCAGGTTTTATTCAGAGAACTATCAATGTGACTTGGCCCGTTTCTTTCTAGTCCCAGAAAGAATTGCACTGAAATGCTGAGCTCCTGTAATAAAAACGAGCATTTGCTGAGAATAATTAACATACTCAAAGAGATTTTCTTAGAGTACACAATGGTGAGATTATATTGTCTCTTTATAAATTACTTTCTATCTATTTCTGTGAATTATTTCTACAGAGCACTTTTCACATGTCCAATTTCTTTTCTTCCCCTATGACTACTGCCTGAATACTGGCTCTGCTGTTCACTGATATGACTCTCGGCAAGTTGCCTGCGCTTTTTAAACTTTATTTCCTCATTCAGAACATGGGGCCATACATAATACAACTCACTTCAGTGTTATTGGGGAATTAAACAAAAAATGCATGGGAAGCATTTAACATAGTTCCTGACACAATAATGAACACTCAGTAGATATTAGCTTTTGTTAATGTTGTTGTTATGTCCAGAAGCACTGTACCTCCAGAAAATCATGGGTACTTGCTAGGGACATTGGAGACATGCATGGTTTGGAAAGGAATGACTGCTTTTTTCTGCTTAGGTGAGAAATTTTTCTAAGTCAGACTCCTTCAAACATGTAAGATTCTGTTGTGGATTCTAGGACTGAAAGAATTCTTGGCCGGGTGTGGTGTCTTACCCCTGTAATCCCAGCACTTTGGGAGGACAAGGCAGGAAGATTGCTTGAGCCCAGGAATTCAGAACCAGCCTGGGCAACATGGCAAAACCCTGTCTCTACAAAACATTACAAACACTAGCTGGGCGTGCTGATGTGCCTGTACTCCCAGCTACTCAAGAGGCTGAGATGGGAGGATCAACTGACCCTGGGCAGTTTGAGGCTTCAGTGAGCCATGATGACACCACACTATACTCCACTCCAGCCTAGGCAACAGTGAGACACTGCCTCAAAAAAAAAAAAAAAAACCCAAATTAACCTTTTTGCTGGTCTCATGTCAGCAGTGTGTGTTAAAGGCTTTAAAGTAGCCACTTGTTCTGTTTATTTTTCCACTGAACAAGTATTGATCAAAAACATACTTTGTGGCAGACACTGTGCTAAGAGCTATGAATACAGAAGGAAAACCAAATGATCTTGGATACTACACTCCAGTTGGAATAAAAAAGAAAAAAAATATTCTCCATGAACGTCAATATATTGATGTGCAAAACCATAATATATGAATTAGATCTATCTAATCACATAGAATTAGACCAATTATTTTTGGAATTGTGGGCTCGTATTTTTAATAACTGTCCTCCTGCCTCTCTGTTGACAGGTTTTATCAATATTTAATGACACACACACACACACACAAACACACACATACATCTTGACAAATAATGGGCATGAATAATTTACTAGTACTTGCTCTCATTCTTCTAGATGTCACCACAATGGATCCCAAAGACAATTGTTCAAAAGATGCAAATGGTAGGTTTTTGTGTTTTTTACTTCCTCTTGATCATTTTAACTTTTGAACTTCTCTGGCTTGAAAAATCAGGGAATGGATTTTGTTAGGTTGGATGCTGCAGAATGGACCTTGTGATATTTTAAATTAGTCCCTCATTTTCTAGGAGTTGTATTAACAAAGCAAACTATTGCTTTGGGGTATGAGATGGCTGTAAATTAGAGGGTAAAGTGATATGCTTTTAACTATTTCAAAAAACATTTTATTCATCCATGTGTCTTTTTTTTTTTTTTTTTTTTTGAGACAGAGTCTTGCTCTGTCACCCAGGCAGTCACGATCTCAGCTCACCACAACCTCCGACTCCCAGCTTCAAGTGATTCTCCTGCCTCAGTTTCTCAAGTCGCTGGGACTACAGGCGCATGCCACCATGCCTGGCTAATTTTTGTATTTTAGTAGAGTCGGGGTTTCACAGGCTGGTCTCAAATTCCTAACCTCGTGATCTGCCCCCTTGCCCTCCCAAAGTGTTGAGATTACAGACGTGGGCCACTGTGCCCGGCCTCATGTCTTTTGTTTTAATGACTGGGGAAAACATGATACCATGTTGCTTCTCGAGTTGTTTTGTTTTAGTCTTTCGTCTTTGCTAGTAGCTAATAACACGAACCAGTGTTTATCAAGTGCTTTTTACACAGAAGGGTTTGGGCTGTGTTCTGCATTTTCCTGTTTAACCCTCTTAATACCCCTATAAAATTGTACATTATTTTTTTCTCCCAATTTACAGTCCCTTTAAAGCAAATAATTATAAAAATCCCTATACATGTCACACAGTTAGATCTGGGATTTCAAATCAGGCCATCAAACAAAGAGTTTATGTACTTAGTAAGTTTCCTATTATTTTTCTGCAATAGAGTCAGATAGCAAGAAATTACAAAGCCAGGAACCCGAAAAAAAAAGGACATAATGTGGGGATGGGTGGGTGCATGGACTTTGCCGAGTGAACTTTCACTCCAACTCTTTTAATGATTAGGTGTAAGTGACCTATATTTTGTGAGTAACATCTTTTTAAATCAGCCAACCACGAATAATTACACCAGATTTACAGTTATTGAAGAGATAAGGGCATGAATGTGAGATGTCTAGCATAGGGTATCTCATTTAGCAGACACAGAATGAGTACTTGTTTCTGGCCTTTTCTCTCTACATATGCACAAAGAATGTGACTAGAAGCATTGGCTCTAGCCCTGCTCAACTTTCCTTTATTTCCAATACCAAGGGGCTCTGACTTAAGCTGCCACACCAGGCAAGGAGGGGCAGTAACATCTCACTTGACGAAGGGTGGAAAGTTAGGAACACATCACTTTTCCACACCAAGTACTGATGTTTCTGGAGTTCTGACATCATGAAGACAAAACATGTAAAATGGAAATTTCTGCAGGCAGAGACTCAGCCTTGTAGCTCATTGAGTAGCCACTGCTGTCCACCATCACTGTCTTTACTTATTCCTTGACAGCACATATATCTTGCAAAACCTCAAATAATATGAAATGCAATCACCCAATAATAGCATAGCCATAATCAGAGACATTTAGGAAAGACAGGTGAGTGTGCCACAACTACCTAACACATCAGCGAATCTGGATTAACCACTTTCTTTGCTTTCCTACAAAGCAACCTTACTTTTTAATAGCTTAGAATGTTCTATGTGAATTTAGCAGAGGTTGTTAATCAACTTGAAAGCTGAATTCTGACTTATCTGACTCTTGGTGGTGGTGGTAGCAGTAGATGTTTACTTTTAGGTTTTGGTGGTGGTAGAATATCACTTCAATGTAAATCGTCAGAAATAAGTATTTGTGAACCCCTCTCCCATTAATATGTCTTATTCTGTAAAAAGAACATGTGAAATTTCTCTTAGATGCACTACTGCTGCAGCTCACAAACACCTCTGCATATTACATGTACCTCCTCCTGCTCGTCAAGAGTGAGGTCTATTTTGCCATCATCGCCGTCTGTCTGCTTAGAAGAACGGCTGTCTGCTGCGATGGAGAGAGATCGTAACAGACGGTGGCACAAGGAAGCCATCTTTTTCTCATCGGCTATTGTCCCTAGAAGTGTCTTCTGAGGATCTAGTTGGGCTTTCTTTCTGGGTTTGGGCTATTTCAGTTTTCATGTGTGTACTATTCTATCATTGTTGTATAATGGTTTTCAAACCAGTGGGCACACGGAAAACCTCACTCTGTGATGACAATGAGGAATAGCCATGGCAGTCTCCAGTACCACTCTCTCCATATTCTCCACAGCTCCTCCAGCCAACCCAAATAGCCACTGCCATGGTGTAGACAGTCCGCGGCTTCTAGCCTTGTCCCTCCCTTAGTGTTCTTTAATCAGATAACTGCCTGGAAGCCTTTCATTTTACATGTCCTGAAACAGCCTTCTTTGCTAGTTGAATTATGTGGTGTGTTTTTCATAATAGGCAAAATAAATTTTAAAAAATGAAAAGTTGACTTTTGTCCATGTGTATTTTAATTGGATGATACCGAATTGAAGATCCAAGGTAAGAAACCTCATGGCAATTGGGCTATGGAATTCTGTGTTGGTTGTAAGAATGGTCCAACATCCCATTTCTCTTTCTTTCCCTGAGCTAGTGTCTATGACACCTTCTAAGAGGAATCATAACCAAATGAAGGAGCCCATGCGGCTTCTGTTTTAAATGTCACCAGAGTCACCAGATTAAGTTGGTTTAGGACATTCCAGTGGCAACAGGACACCATCTCCTGTGACGCGCACCGTGCGAGCTCAGCTCTAGAGTGTTTCGCAGACACCGTGTTTCCTGATCCTCACAATAACCCCAATAGAGCTGCCCTAACACCAAAGAGGCAGCATGATGGAGAGGCTCAGCACATGCTCTCTGGTCCCAGGAATCCTGGGTATGGTGTTTAGTATCTGTGTGACCTCAGATGAGTTCTAGGAACTCTATGTGCCATAATCTCCTTATGTAAAATGAAGTTATAATGCTCCATTTCCTGAAGTTACATGGATTAGATGAGTTAATAGCACCTGGCACACACAAGCCCTCCACAGTATTGGCGTGCACTGTTGGTAACTCTACTCTAGAGACAGTAATAAACCAAAAAGTATCTGATGCAGGCATCAATCAACTTAGAAGTTTATTTTGCCTAGATGAAGGGCATGCCCAGAAGAAAATAACACGGAATCACCGAAACAGTCTATGGTCTGTGCCTTTCTCCAAAGATGAATTTGAGGGCCTCAATATTTAAAAAAGGAAAGTGGGCTGGAGGGAAAAGAGGGAGGGTATAACAATCCACATGTTGCAAGAGCAAGGGAGCAGGCAGGGGAACTGCCAAATTATGTATTCATGTTGCACTCAGTAGATCAGCACTTTACATAAGATACAGTGAACATAGAGTAGCTACTTCTGGAGCTATTTGACCTTTCATCTGTAGTTCTCTGTTTAGGCACAAAAGGAAAGGCAGCTTCTCCCATGAGCCAGCTTTTGGCTTATTTTTTTCTGAAACATAGCATGGTGAATTGGGGTCCCGAGTTTTCCTTTTCCTTTCACACAGTAGATTCCACTGGAAAATAAATAGGTGTGGTGTTGAAAAATAATGTTCATAGCATAAGTCTATTAATCCTATTGTGAGATAAATACATTTGAACATTTACATGGTTCTAAAGCACTCAAATTTTTATTTAGATAAATATGGATGTACATATATAAGTATCCATGTACATATATATATGTTCTGATTTACCCTTCTTACACAGGGAGTGTACAACATATATTATTCTGCACATCTCTTTTCATTTATAAATCCTAAAGCTCTTTTTATGTCTGTATACAGGGACACTTCACTGCAGGTATTTTTCTCTCTTTTTTTTTTTTTTTCTGGATGCAGTCTCGCTCAGTCTCCCAAGCTGCAGTGCAGTGGTGCCATCTCGGCTCACTGCAACCTCTGCCTCTTGGGTTCCAGAGATTCTCCTGACTCAGCCTCCCCATTAGCCGGGATTACAAGCTACCATCAACATGCCCAGCTAATTTTTGTGTTTTTAGTAGGGACAGGGTTTCACCAGATTGGCCAGGCTGGTCTTGAACTTCTAACCTTAAGCGATCTGCCCACCTCAGCTTCCCAAAGGCCTGGATTTACAAGCGTGAGCCACTGTACCCAGCTAAATATAGGTATTTTTCACTGGTGAACATACTTTTAATCAGTGCCTTGGTTTAGTTCCAATCTTTTGCTATTATAAAGAATGCTGAAACGAATAATAGTGTTTTATGTCATTTGAACATGTACACTGGTAATTCTGATAGGTTCTGCCAACTTGCCCTCCATAGAAGTAGCCCTAACCCCTTCTCCCACAATGTGTGTGAAAGCTGAGAGCGTACTGCTTAATGTTGGGGCTTTGCTAATTTGACAGGTGAAAATAGTATCACATTGTGTTTCTAATTTGCTTTTTTCTTCCTGTGAGTGAAGATAAACATCTTTTTCTGTTTAAGGTCTATTTTATATTATTCTGTGCCATATTTGTTCATGTCCTTTGACCATTTTTTTCTACTGAGTAATAATACAAATAGGCATGACACTCATTTATATGTGTGTCTGTGTATTTCTGCAGACAAAGATAAAATGTTCCATGTATGGTAGGTGGGTGAAAAAATGACAACTGATTGTGTGTTTTCTGTTTTCTCCAGTGACTCCTTTTAAAGTAAACATTTTAATACATTAGATTTAAAACAATGTGTTATTGTCCTCTCACCCTTCTACATCCTTTCCACATTTAGAGTAAATACGATACTCCCTAGCCCTTCATTTTCCCCACCAAGTGGCACACTGTCTCCAACCTTCTCTGCAGCTGTATTCACTCCTGATCTTGTACACTCGTGTTCTGAGTCAATGAACAAGAGGCTGATTGAAAAATTAGTTCAGGGAAGTCCAGAAACCCTAACCTCAGGATCAGCATGGAATAAAATTTGAAAATGACTATGAGAAGAAAATGCTAACTACTTCCGTGATGTTGGAGAGGGGAAAGTTTTCTTAAACAGCACTGCAAAACACCCAAAGTATATGGCAAGAAAAAAAAGAGTTTGACTCCAAAATTAAGAATTTATATTTAATGAAAAGATATTTGAGATAGTTAGTCGGCAGACAGATTTGCCTAAAATATTTGTTCCACCCCAAATTCACAAAGGATAAATGTCTAAAAACCACAATGAACTTATTCAAGTCAAGAAATGAATAATAATTACTATTATTATAATTTGTTTATATCATTTATATTTATTTATAATATGGCAATATAATATAATACAATAATAACATTCGTTGACTGTCACTTGCTACACACTGTGTGTATTATTTTATTTAATCTTTACAAATCTATGAGGTAGTTGATCTTTTTACTTATTAAGGCGGGGAAGCTAAGACAGAGTTTCATGAGGAAGCTTGTTCATGGTCACACAGTCAATAAATGGCAGGGCCAGGCTGTGTCCCAGGCAGACGGGCTCTAACATAAGTTCTAACTCCAGCTTCCTTGTTGGTATGCTTAGAGGACGTGAAAGGTAATTCATACTTCAGTGAATACTAACTATAAAAAAGGACCTCAGCTTCCTAATAATCAGATCTGTGCCTTCTTTTTTTTTTTTTTGAGACGGAGCCTTTCTCTATCACCCAGTCTGACAGGCTATGGCGTGATCTTGGCTCACCGCAGCTTCTGCCTCCTGGGTTCAAGCGATTCTCCTGCCTCAGACACCAAGTAGCTGGGATTACAGGTGTGCCCCACCATGCCCAGCTAATTTTTGTACTTTTACTAGAGATGGGGTTTCTACTAAATCCCTAATTTTGTATTTGCAGTAGAGACAGGACAGCTTGATAGCTATCAGATCGGCAATAAATAAATAAATAAATAAATAAATAAATAAAATGAGCGTTTCTGATAACATGGCCCTGGTAGCATTTAGTGAAGATGTGAATGTGTGTTCCCCCTGACCAGCAATGCTGGGAGGACATTCCCAGGGAAAGGCTTACCAGGGAAAAAGAGGACCCTGTGAGGGGTCCGTCAGAGCTCCCTGCTGATAGCAACATGCCTGTGTTTGGGGGAATGGATGGATGGAATGCAGGGGCTGCCAGCCGTGGAGCGATGAGCAGCAGAGAGGAGCATGAACAAGGGGCATGAGCTGGTGTGCAGACGTGGACAGGTAGAAATGGCATGCCAGTACTCAACGAAAAACACAGTATTCATGAACAATTCTATATACAGTCATGCGTTGCTTGACAACGAGGAAGCATTCTAAGAAATGCGTCCTTAGGCGATTTCATCCTTGGGTGAACATTGTGGAATGCACTTCCATAAACCCAGATGGCACAGCCTACTACATACAGAGGCTATATGGTGTAGCCTGTTGCTTCTAGGTTACAAAGCTGTGTAGCATGTTACTGTACTGAGTGCTGTAGGCAACTGTAACACATTGGTAAGTATTTGTGTATCCAAATATATCTAGACATAGACAACCTACAGTAAAAAATAGGATATACAAGTGTAAGTACAAAAACACCTGTATAGGGAACTTACCGTGAATGGAGCTTGCAGGTGAGCGAGTGAACGAGTGAGTGGTGAGAGGATGTGAAGACCTAGGACGTTGCTGTCCACTCCTGTAGACTATACACTGCACACTTAGGCTACACTAAATTCATCAAAACATGCATTTCTTTCTTCACTAATAAATTAACTTTGCCTTACTGTAACTTTTTTACCTTTGCGACTTTTATTTTTTAACTTTTTGACTTGTAATAACACTTAGATTAAAACACAAACACACTGTACAGTTGCACAAAATATTATCTTTATATCCTTATTCTATAAACTGTTTTCTATTTTTAACACTTTTAAAACATTTTTGCTAAAAACTAAGACACAGCCACACATTAGCCTAGGCCTACAGGGTCCAGATCTTCAATATCACTGTAGTCCAGCTCCACATCTTGTCCCCATGGAGGGTCATCAGGGGCATAACACACATGGAGCTGTCATCTCCTAGGACAACAATGCCTTCTTCTGGAATTCCTCCTGAAGGGCCTGCCTGAGGCCGTTTCACAGTTAACTTTTTTTTTTTTTTTACAAGTAGACGTTGTACACTCTAAAATAATGATAAAAAGTATAATGTAGTAATTACATAAACCAGTAACATGGTCATTTATTATCAAGTATTATATACTGTGCATAACTGGTTGTGCTAGACTTTTATGCAACTGGCAGTACAGTAGGTTTATTTACACCAGCATCCACAAATGAGAGTCATGTGTTGTGACATTATGATGGCTACGATGTCACTAGGTGACAGGAATGTTTCTGCACCACTATCATCTCACGGGACTGTGGTCCATGTGGTCCATCGTTACTGAAATGTGAGGAAGTGCCTGACTCTAGTCTTCACAGATATGGAGGATCTAAGGACAGATATCAAATACATTAGATTGGGCACCTATGG